GTAACCATTTCCCCAGTTTTTCTCCCCAAAACGGCCGTGGTGGCGCGGGGGTTTTTGGGGAGGTGGGGGCTGTGTTGTGTTGTATTGTTTTTTTGTTTCCCCCCCCCTCCCCGCTCTCCGTTGAGGCAGCGCCGCAGCGACGTAAAACGGCCTCAAATTGGGCCCAAAGAGAGGAACGTTGCTAAAAAAAATGACTAAAAATTAGAAAAGCAATTACAAAAACCCCCAAAAAAGAGCACAAAACCCTTTAAAAAAGAGGCAGGAAAAATCCAAGTGAGCGGAGTAAGTACCCGCGGCGCGGTCACGGCGGCCCCAAACCCCGCTTCGGCAGCTCGGTGCGCGCCGGGGATGCGAGCCTGACCCCAAATGCTGCTTCCTGGGTCCTTTTTCTTCGTCGTCTTTTTTTTGCTCCGGTCCCAAAAAGCCGCTTTCTGAGCCCGTTCTGTGCTGGGGCAGCATGGCGCTCCCAAAATGATGCACCCAAAATGACGCTTTCTGTGCCTGTTTTGCCGCGCGCTGACCCCCAAAACACCCATTTCTGAGCCCGCTTCACGCTGGCGCCACGGGGCTGACCCAAAATTCCCCTTTCTGAGCCCATTTCGGGTGCGTGGCTGACCCAAAATCCCCCTTTCTGAGCCCATTTCGGATGCGTGGCTGACCCAAAATCCCCCTTTCTGAGCCCATTTCGGGTGCGTGGCTGACCCAAAATCCCCCTTTCTGAGCCCATTTCGGGTGCGTGGCTGACCCAAAATCCCCCTTTCTGAGCTCATTTCTGATGCGTGGCTGACCCAAAATCCCCCTTTCTGAGCCCATTTCGGGTGCGTGGCTGACCCAAAATCCCCCTTTCTGAGCCCATTTCAGATGCGTGGCTGACCCAAAATCCCCATTTCAGATGCGTGGCTGACCCAAAATCCCCCTTTCTGAGCCCATTTCTGATGCGTGGCTGACCTAAAATCCCTCTTTCTGAGCCCATTTTGCGCTCCGACCCCAAAACCCCCTTTTCTTGTGCCCGTTTGGCGCTGGGGACGCGAGCATGACCCAAAATCGCGCTTTCTGAGCCCATTTTGCACCGGGGACGCGCGCCGCCGGGTGATAACTACTAAAAAACCCCCAAAACGCCCCAAAATGTGCGGGGTGGGGGGCGGTGCGCGCGCCTTTTCCCCGTGCAGCCGTAGGTACCGAAAACGCCGTTTTACCAAAAACTCACCAAAGCGTCCCAAAAATGCTTCGCTTCGGAGCCGCGCCGACAGCCCCGATGCCGCCGGGTGATTTTTTGGGTCAGTTTCACGGATGTTCGGTAACTTTGGGGGCAGCTCAGCCCCCGACGCCGCC